GCTCTCTCGCCCCGGAGCTCACAGGCAGCAATCCGCCACCTCGACCTCCGGGGCGAGAAAGCCCCGTTCGTAAGTGCGGATCCGACATAAGTCGGATCCGCGTAAGTCGGGGACTGCCTGTACTTAAGTCAAACAAGTCCTGTATAAAATGGAACTGGCAGTTAATTGGCTATACAGATTATACCATACTATGTATATAAGTCTGATTCTAAGTTTTCACAAGAAATACCCACTATACCAAAAACAAACAAACAAACAAAAAAACCCAGGTCTTTATCCAATAAACACTAGAAAACCACCAGAAATTACTATTTGTACGTAAAAGCTTGTCCACGCAGTAATAAAGACTCCTGGGTGTGATTTCTAAAACACACTAATTTAAGCACATTAAGTGGTCCGTGTAGGCTCTGCTACTGCACACAAAAGGTTCCCATACACTTTAATACAGTGCTGTTTGAAACAGTACTATGTTAAAGCATGGCAGGAAACATTTACAAAGAGACTACTGTTTACGAAGAGAACCTGGAAACCCTCCCAATTTTTGGACATCTATGTAAAATTTTAAAAATCCTAAAAACCAACCCCAGAAACTAGAATCCCTAAATGTACACCTGACCAAGAATTTCACTGCAGGAATACTGCCATATAAATTAATTTCAGATTTAGAACCTGTCTGCTGGGAAATATTCAGCAACACCTACACAGTATTCCTCATCATGTTTAGTAATACAGACTTCTTGTCTAAAGGAAGCAGCCTTGTACCATGAGTGATGTCAGCTCCCCAAGTCTATATTATTTATATTATTGCAGCACCTAAGAGTCCTACCCATGTGCTAGGCGCTATTGGAAAAGGGATTTTACTGAAAAGACTATATGCCTATAACACTAAAACAACGTGAACTACAGAGATCTCTTTCATTCAGTATGCACAGTAAATGGAACTAAAAATCAAGACAAAGTTAACATTTTATTGACTACCTTTTTTCTATTTCAGAATTAAAACTACTGTATACCAACAAAAAATATTTAGTACCTAAGCCATATGATACATGCCTTTACTTGTACTTACCTTTGTATCCCTTTCCATCTTTGTTATGTTTAGAAACATTTGAGCAATCTCCCGGTCAAACACCCTCACTCTATCCCATTCCAATGTGAGAGAACTTTCTTTTTCATGGTTCACCTAGAGGAAAAAATAAATAAATACAAGCAACCTAGATTCAAGTCCTGACTGACACTCAAGCATTAACAACTGCCAGGCACAGTCCCTTTGGCATGGACATCTGATTTGGATTAGGACCAGGATTGCAGATGGCCTAGCTGGAGATTCAGGGTCTGGTTGATAGATTTTATTGCTCTTGCAGAGTAGTCAAATAACTGAAATACTGAACTACAGATTTAAAGTTCCTTCATGACTGTGGATATTTAGAATGGCATGGGATAGGCAATTGATAAATCAGAATAGTTTCTAAATAGAGAAAACTACAGGTTGAACCTCTGTGGCCTGGGACTCTCCAGTCCAGCAATATCCATGGTCTAGCAGGACCATGGATGTTGCTGGACCAGAGAGCCCCAGTGACAGTTTACTGGTGGCTGAGAGTAGAGCTGGCCAGCGGGCCAAGAGAGTTCATGGGCTGGTCTGGCAGCAGAGTCCAAGGGCCTATGGATGAAGGAGCCACCAATGCTAGAGTGCTCGACGAGGTGCAACCAGATATCATTTGTCACTATTTTAGATGGGTATGACTAATACAATTCAGGTTTAAAATCCTGATCCTAAGAATAAGCATCAGTTACCATCCTGGTAAAGATGCTAATAATCTTAGGCTCTCTGAGAACAGAAATCAGTATTTTATATTGATATTCAGAAGTGGATCATGCAGGACTGAGGCCTGGCAAAGGCAACATGAACTGACACATATTAGAACTTTGATAAAAAGCCAATAGACTATTAGCTTTCACCTTTTCATTATCTTGCTACAGGTTCAACCTCCCAAATCTGAGTCTCTTTGATCCAGCAACATGTGTGGTTCTGTTGCATGCTGGGGATCTTTGGTCCAGCAACATCCAACAAGCAGCCACTGGGGAGCCCCCGTCCAGGGATCCCCAGACATATCAGCAGCAGAGGGACCAGCATTGGCCAGGGAGCTCTGCCCCAAGAATCCCTGGCCAGTTGGCAGCAGCAGTGATCTTCAGACATGTCAGCAGCACCAGGGCTGGTGACATACAGAGATCCCTGATCCCAAGAAGCACCAGGGCTGGCAGCTACTGGGAATCCCCAGGGCTGGGGATTCTCAGCTGCTCTGGCAACAGAAGTAGCCGCTGAGCATTGGCCCTGGGGATCCCTAGCTGAAGTGAGGCTGGTGGCAGCTGGGGAGTCCCAGGGGTTCTCAGCTGCGCTAGGCAGCAGTGGAGTATGAGGTAGCCATGAATCCCCCAGGCCAGGCCTCCCTGGCTAGGCTGACAGCAGGAAGAGGCAGCAGGCTGGGAGGCCAGTGACAAGGGGACATCCTCTGGTCCAATAAATCCCTCATTAGGGACCAATCAGGTCCCCAGGGTGCTGGACCAGGGATGTCCAACCTGCACTATTTGTTTAAAGAAGCCTGTGTACACACAAATACAACTGCAACTTTGGTTACTTCTCAGAGCTTCAACACCAACAAGACTAGTGAAACTGGTGAGAGCTGCCAAAGTAGTCACAGAACTCACCTAGAAATTAGCATACTGAGGCCGCATTTCTACTTGCCTGCCAGAGATCAATCTTCCAGTGTTAGATTTAGCAGGTCTAATAAAGATCTGCTAAATTGAATGCTGAGGGTGCGCCCGGTTGGCGCTGGTACCCTCGATTCATGAGTAAGGGAAGCCTGAGAGAGCGTTTGCTCCTACTGACTTCCTGTTGTGAAGATGGCTCCAAGCTCAGCTTAAGGTACATCAACTCATGGTACAGCATTTATGTTGCTAGACTTGCGTACTTTAAGCCAACCTTCTGGGTCTAGTATAGACTTGGCCTGAGTGTTACACTTTGCTTCAGAACTCCTGGGCTCAGCACTATGTGTTTGGCAGGCTAATTATATCTTATATTGACTTTAAGTAGAGAATCAGTGTAGGGACTCCACTTTTCTGAAGTAACCCATTTTGAGTGATCATTTTGGCTGAATCTGAGTTTAGACTGCTAGGATTCAAGAAGGCTGATTGAAGTGATTATATACACAGTTTATTTAAAACTGACATGTATGTTTAATGAAGAGTGATCATATACATATAAAATGAATAAAAATCCATCAGTTCTTTTGCCTGTAATTAACAGCCTATCTGAATTCTAGAGAGCTGTTGCAAGTTTATAAGTTAATACAGAGAGGCAAAATAAAATTAATTTTACTGATAAAATGTGCACTATATTTCATATATACAAACAAATCAGACAACTATGAATGGCGTAAAAAATTACCTTGGCTTGCAGCACCCAATAAGTTTCAGGTTTGAAAGACTGGATTTTATCATGCCTTTCTACACAGAATCCAAGTGTCGGGGTCTGACATGGCCCAAAGGAGATGAGAGAGCTGTCTAAATTGCCATATTTTCCCTGAAAGTATTTAGTCTGAAACCTAATAGACAACATACAGACAACACTGTTTAAAATTTTTACATGTTAATTCTAATCCCTTCAAAGGGAACATTTTCATAAACTTACATACATGTCAATGCTCTAATTAATCACTCAGACCTTGAAATATTTTTTCAAGAGTCACCAAAATAATCAACAGTCCATGTAATAAATAACAATCCTTCCACATAGGATCCTGTTACCTCTTCAAAAAACTGGGAAGCAGAATTGAGATAGAAGACAGAGTATACAACATTTTTGAGCATGGTTCAGGAAGACATCTTTGCTGGAGAAGATACATATCAGAACTGCAATGGACAGTATTTCACAAAAAAAGTTAAAATAAAAAGAAAATTCAGATTACAGTTTTAATTAAAAAAGCTATTAGTTGTTTACCTAGTTTATGCATATATCAGCACAAGAAAAATTCTCTTTGTTACCTTGTAAATGCACAGCCAATTCTCAGATCCAGCTCCTGGCGGGCGTCCACTGACAGAGCCTCATTGTGATTGGGTTCTCCCAAGGAGTTCATGGCATTGCAGATGTCTGTGTCAGTAATGGAACTGAACTTTGCTCTGTATATTGTCCTTTCAGTGCCACGAGGTTTATTCATAACAGGAAGAACAGCATCAAGAACCTAATGGAAACCGAAGCGTGTGTTAATAGTCATAGGAGGGCAAGGGTTTTAGAGTCTGTGCATCTCTAGAGTAAAGATTACACAGAACAATAGCAAATAAACTACCACTTTCCACCTACCAATGAGGGTAGGAGGAAAGTTTAAGTTTTCCATTAATAGACAGGCAAAAGCAATATTTCCCATATACATTTTAGAAACAAGCAGATCATAAGCACCTATTTACTAGAACTGGCAACTGATGATGACAGTGAAGTAATATTACTAGACAAGTGCAAAAAAAACCCCAAAACCCACACCCATGGGATTTTACTTGGCAGAGTTCACAGCACCACCTTGCAACCAATTTACCAGCTTCAATCAGAAAACACCTCATAAGGCTTCAAAGACAATTCAGTCATTATGACAGTTTAAATAAAGCTGCAGATGAACATAGGAATGTTAAATAGCAAGTAATTGAATAGTCATGTAGTTATATTAAATGTTAGTGGTTACATGACTACTTAATAGTCCCCGGAGGCAGCCTGGCAGCCAGTGCATTCTCAAACCCACTTCTGGGGAACCCCCTACCATCTCACCATGCTGCCTCTCTTTCAGGTAGTAGGTGGGAGCTGATCTGCGAGGGGAGACAATTTAAAACTAGTTTTTCATGTAGACTGGTTCTTGCCTGATCCTCTAAAGCAGGGGTCTCCAAACTACGGCCCGGGGGCCGGATGCGGCCCACGAGGCCCTCTCATCCGGCCCGTGGAGACCTTTTTGGATTCAAAGGCAGAAGAAGTGAGATTGTTTCAAAACCCATTTGAAGCAGATGTGGCCAGTTGCCCAGATGAACTGCAGCTGGAAGTCATTGAGTTGCAAGCAAATGACCTCCTTAGGGACAAGTTCAAAATAGGACTGGTGGGTTTTTACCAGTTTTTGCCCAAGGAAGACTTTCCTAATGTCAAAACTTTTGCATCAAGGTACCTTTCAATCTTTGGAACAACATACCTGTGTGAACAAACATTTTCAAGAATGAAATACGTGAAGAACAATTTGAGAACAAACTTGTCCGATGATAATCTCAGGTCACTGTTGATGTTAGGGACAACAAATCTAAAGCCAGAAATGTCTATTTTGGCATCCAGGAAACAATTTCACCATTCACACTAATACAGGTGTTCATGTGTAGTGTATCAATGTGTTATTAAATAATAACTGAATAAAATAATATTAAATAAATAATTAAAAACAACATCCATGTTTTGATTGTTTTTTATTTGGACCTCAAGTGTGTAGTCGGCCCCCGAACTGCTGTTTGATAGTTAATGCGGCCCTCGGGCTGAAAAGTTTGGAGACCCCTGGCCTACATTAACCACCCTAGTTCGAACTAGGGAGAGGGTTGTGCATGGGAGAGGCTGCAGCACAAACCTGTTCCACAGTATCTCTCCCTTTGCGTATTTTCTTCGGTTTTGGATCTAGGTGAGGCAGCGAAGAAAAACAACTCGCAAAGGAGACTTTGAACTAGGGCTGGCTGGAAATCAAGAATTCCCTTTCCTGAAAAAGCTTTGAGGCTGTGACATTTGAACACCAGTCTGTGTCTCTCTCCAGAAATTCCTATAGAAAATCATCAAAATGTTTCAATTTAAAAAAAAAAAAATCAGAATTTTTCAATGAAAACATTAAAAAAAACCCTGCAGCCAGTGTTGTTTAGGGCCCATGATTCTTTGCAGGAATATACAGACCTTTGTTGTAGGTGATGTCCTTCCAGAACAGAGTTCATTACCTCCAAAGGAATATTTGGT